AATTTTTATCTATGCCTCGGTGAATTGCATGTGACTTTTCTTGGAGATACGCTGAATTATATCCAAAATTATATAAAACAATTATATTCTTAGTTGTTACGAATGACTTTATATAAAACTTCCCCAAAGGGAACGCTTGCGGCCAGCTCTGTGTTTAATATAAACTGAATAATAGTATATTTAGATATAAATATATTCTCAACGAAAGCTCGTTTATTAATCACCGCGTTTATTCAGAAAAATCTCAGTTTATTAGCTGTCGAATATGCTGTGTTTGTTATTCTCACATCTCAAGGAAAAGCTAAGTTTCTTCTCTGTGCTCCGTGATCATTTTTCTGCTATATTAAGCAATTTGAATATATTTTAATTTAATGTTTTATTAAAAATACCTTTACAAATCTCTTTTTTTCTTGCTGGCGTCCGTTTTTGATTACTTTTACATTTGGGATTTGCCCTCTTCTTCGCAAAAATAATCGATAAAACTAGGTAGGGAGTTAAGCTCGAAAATAAAGATAATCTACTTATATGTAAACCTTCGTCTTCTTCTTATTTGGCGCTGTAACCGCCTAAGCGATTTTGGCCGAGTTCAACAAAGCACGCCAGTCGTTTCTTTTCTGTGCCAACTGACCCCAATTGAAAATTCCAAGTGAAGCCAAGTCCTATCGATGTCTCCAGAATGCAAAAATCAGAATAACCAAATAAAATTTAAATAAATAACCATCAATTAAGAACTTTGTACGAGGACTCACATTGATCCCTAATTTTATTCAATAAATAAATCGGCCAAAGAGTTTTCCACACGATCTACTTATGTACATACAATAATAAAGATGTGTTAACAACATCATTATAACCCACAGCGTTTTAGAATTTCAAACACCGTACCCTTTTACTTATTCACTCCATAGCGCATATGCTGCAAAGTGCAGTATAAATTATCTTCAAACCGGAGTAGGCAAAATCCACCCCTTGTATCAGGCCATAAACTCAGATTAATGAAATCAGAACACAATCAACCAGAAGGAAAACAAAACGAGCGTGAAACAAATTAAAAAACCAGTGGAATTAAATTGAAAAGCAAACATTTAAACAAATACGATTACAACTGCATTAAATTACATCCTTCTCGCCGTAGCTGTGAAGAGCTGGCAAAAAGGGCGCATAACTTGCCTGGGATTTGTTTACTTTTCCACTTCAGTGGTTTATTGCGGGTGCAGGGGTGGTTTTATCCTTCAATTGCTTGTTATCGCGGTTGAGTTTCCTCATGACATAATTGGATAGCCCTCGACTATTCTGTGATATTGAAACAACAATAACATTACCCTTAATCATTATATTTGTATAACATTTTACTTAAAGCTTCTACTTTGTGTTATGTTTTTTTTGCAGGCCGGACAAATGGATGTACCGAAGTTTGCGCTCGACCGCAGCTCGTACCTCAGCTCAGCAGCTACGGCTGGCTCCCTCTACGAGACATCGAAGGCTGCCCAGGCGAGTGCCGCCTACAGCGCCTACTTGGATCCCAGTGTACTTACAAAGGCTTACTTCGACTCGAAAATGTATCAGGATCGCGCTGCCAATTATGCCTTTGACATTTCAAAAATCTATGGCGCCCAACAACATGGCTCCTCGGCGGCCGCCGCGGCAGTGGCGCATCAACAGCAGCAACAACACTTGCTCAACGGCCTGGGCATAGCCAGTTCGCATCAGAATAATGGCAACAACAATAATAACCACTCAACAGCGAACAATAATCTGGATGAACGAGACCACACACCGCATTTAGATAGCGGCGGGGCTGGTGGTGGAGTTCCGAGTGGTATAGGGGATTCCAAGCCACATCTACACTCGCCAACGGACGCACAGCTAGATTATTCACAATATGCGCAATACGGTCAGGTGGGTGGAGCAACCGTTGGTCTTGGTGGCGGAGTCGTTACCAACGGAGGTTTAGCTGGCATTGCGTCTGGTGGCCCAGGTACTGCTGGCGCTGGTGGTGATTTTCGTCGTCCGCTCACAGTTATATTTTGACCACCATCCGTCGAGAGTGAGGAACTGAACCTGTCCATGACGAATTAGATTTACCAGTGGTTTTCTTTCTAGAGTCTTAGTACACATCTGAAACGCTACATCAGCACGCATGAATGGAGTAGATATAATACAGTAGACTCCCATACAAAAATCGACATACATATGTATGTAAGTTCCAACAACAAACGGGCATGAGCTGCAAATCTTACGATTTGAAATTGGTACGATACGTAAATCTACGAAAAACCAATCACTGAATCCGGATTGTTTTGAACATATTAGCAAATCTTACGAGTTGTTTTTTAATGTCACTAAAAAGGTACGGAAATTACTGATTTTTTATTGTCACTCGAAAAAAGTCACATTTCTTACTAATTTCGGGAAGTTTTCAAATAGAATTGCTCATGTTAGAAGGAATGAAAGTTGGCATCATATAAAACATACCTGTGAAGTTTCAAGAGTGTGTCACCAAATTATAAAAAAATGGCAGCAAGCAGAATATCTGTCGCAGCTTCATATTTTGTAATTTTTAGCATTTACCGATTTTTTTCATTTTAAAAGTTTAAGTTACTTCAAAATTTTAACATTAAAAAGTGAAAATGTTCTTCTTGCCAAAACGAACCAATCTGTAGTAATGCAACTAATGTGCAACCAAATGAGACAAAAATACATTGGTTATAAGATGATGATTTGCGAAACAAAAATTCCAAATTTGCAATTTCTATTGGCATACTCGAAATTCATTCTACGTTATTTTCGAAAATTGTAACAACTCATGAGATTTGATCATATGCATGTACATATAAAGCAACAAGTAAGAAAGTCTAAGTTCGGGCGGAGCCGAAAATTAAATACCCGGCGCAAGTATTAAATATATGTTTTTCACCTTTCCGCAAGCTATCGCTATATGTTAAGCTGGGGTGTATCAATTTTGAGTAAGTTAGCGTCCTTAAATTTCGAAATATTGAAATTTCAAGCATTTCTGAATCGATTTCAATAATTTTCAACGCTTTCCTTTTATGTGGCAAGCACAATAACCATACCGAGTTTGGGACAAATTGGGAGAACGGTTACCGAGATACATATATGTGATCATAAGTGGGCGGTGCCACGCCCATTTTTCAAAATTGTCTCATAAACGTATTTCTTGGTAAAGAATTGTTGCAAGCGTAAATTTTGAATAAATTAGCTTTAATATTTACTGATTTATCGAAGATTTTTTATTTCTCTAAATTACCGTTATATGGGATGTGGGCGTGGTTATTGTCCGATTTTAAAAAATTTTGGCCATTTGGTATGCTGTACCAAGGTCAACAACTGTGCAAGAAATTGGTGCAGCGGTTACCAAGATATACACATGTAACCATCAGTGGGCGTGGCTACTCCCATTTTCCAAAAA